TCCATTGTAAACAGTGGCAGATGAGAGAACCTTCATCATTTTGCATGATTTCATGTTACTGGGAAGTTTCTTAGGTTTGGTAACTGCTGAAACCAGGCCCAGCTAAAACCTTAGTACCTCTTTGGTCTGATGATGCATACTGCCAAGAGATGGAAGGAGTCCATGCCTCTGATACACCATCTCGATTTGGAGCTGAGTGGTTTTTTAACAGCAGGATTAGTTTCTCAATTTTCACTTCATTTTACGTGGACACATACACCACAAGCCAATCTGAGTTTGCTCCTTGAAAAGTTCATAATTAAAACCTTTAATGGTTTTGAAAAAACTCAGCACACTTCCGATGACCACTGACAGGTTAGTAAACATAATGAAACAAAAACTTAAGAAAGTACATTTAGATCTTACTATGCTGATGGACAGTGATTGCAATGGGGCGGAGAGGGGGGACTTGATAATATGGGTGAATGTTGAAACCACAATGTTGCTCATGGGAAACCTTCATGAGATTGTATATCAATGATACCTTAATTTTTTTTTAAGTGCTTTTAGTCTATAGTGGCTCTTAGTAGAAACTTAGGACTTCAGTCTCGTATCTAAGAGGGATCAGCCCCAGCGAGGGCAGTAGACACTACCTTTGGGAGCACTCTGTTCCCGGCACCACTCACACGAGCCTCACCCACAGGCACTGCCCACCTCTTAGAGCCCAGTGATGGCGGGGTCACCGTGTCTTCCTGCCTGTCACTTGCTGCATACCACTTCATTCTCTGAACTGCTTCTTTCACTTTTGTGATGAGACAAAGCCACAGATCTGATTGAGCCACTCTCTGCTTTCACATATGCACAACAGCCTCTTGGGAGTTGTGTAGGGTTTAAGGGTTTGTACCTGGGTCAAACAGACCCACATTGGAACCTGCCCAGCTAAGTGGCCTTGAAGAAGTGACCTTCCAGAGTCTTCATTCCCTCATTTGTACATTGGTCATAAGACCAACTTGGTGTGGATTCAGTAATGATGGGGGTGGAGTGCTTAGCAGAGGGCTGGGCCCTTAGGAAGCACCCAGCAAGTGACAGCTCTTTGTAGTGGGCATGTTGTCATTCTAACAACACCCTTTCCTGGTGGACCCTCTCCTTCCTCTTTCATGTGGTCCAGACGGTTCTGTCATCCTAATGTACCTCCCACTCTACACCACCTGTCAGACGGTGGGTATGTACATCAACTAGGATTCCCTCTGACTGCATGTTACTGGAAAAAGAACTACAATGCCTTAAGTGAGGACTTGGTTTCTCTCCCATGTAAAAGCAGTCTAGTACAGGCAGCAGGCACTGATGTGGAAGCCCTGAAATATCACTAGGAACTTGAGCTCCTGTCTTCTGATATACTATCCTGGAGCATGGCTTTCAACCTCAAAGTGACAGTGACCTCATGTTTAAAGACGGCTGCTGCAACTCCAGCCAGCAAATCTATTCTCGATATTGACAGTAGGAAGAAGTAAGGGAAGACCAAAGAAGTGCATAACACCCCCTCTGGCCCCACCTTACAGAGTCTCACTGAAAATTTTACATAACAGTTTCATACACAGAACTAAGTTACATGGTATACATGAGCTGCAAGCTACTAGTCTTGGAAATTTAGTCTTCTCAGTGGTCACATTGTCACAGGAAACACAAAGTGGTTTTGAATTAAGCAAGAAGAGAAGGGATTTCAGTTGGCTACTAGCAGTATCTGCTGCAGCATGGGTCCAGGCTGGACCATCGATGCCCTTCCAAAGGATCTGGTCCATGCCAGGGGACAGAGAGGGTCTACGTTCCCTATGGCCCACAGACTGCAAGGGCATAGTCCCTCTCATGGAGGAACATGAGCCAGAGAAGGGGCGGAGTGGGCACTAGGGAGGCTGCCAACTGCTATTCCTGCTTTCATACTCTACAATGCCTCTACCCCTCGCACTAGACTGAAAGGGCCTAGAAGGAAAATCCTGTCCTATCCACACGTGCATTAAAAGTTTTTAATGCATACACCTATAGGTGACCATAAAAGTTTGTCACTGGATTAGTGAATGAGCAGCAAATGGACTAAGTTTTGGCAACTACAAAATATATCCCACAGGATTCTGTTGAGTGAGGGCTGCAGTCAGGCTCCCTCCATTGCTCTGTTGCATAAAAGAGGTAACAGAGGATAATCCACATGCCTGGCACACGGAAGGCCATAGTGTTGGCCATCACTGTAATTATTGTTACTGCTGCATGCCACTGACTCTGAGATGCACTTTCTATTTTCACTGTAACAGCATTTATACTACATGGCAGGGCATGATTTAATTAGCAGAGGGTTTTATTTTTGTTTTTTTCTTGGTGGTATATAAAATCATGCTTTGTTTTATAATCAGTGCTGGGTGAGAGTCAATGGAATTGTTATTATCATGAAAGGAATGGAGAGTGATCAGAAATTCTGGGTCTTGCAAAGTCAAAACAGTAAAATGCTTATAGATTCCAAATAGTAGGAAATGAGACTAAGATGGCCTAACCTTCCCCACGTTGTGTTCTGGGAAGGCTCAAGGTAGCCACCCTTCAATCATAATGGAGAGGGTGAGGGGCAAAAAAAGAAGGAAATAAAATAAGACTGAGACCAATGTGGGTATAACTGCAGCCATGTGCAACTGACTAGATGTAAATGGATCAGAAGCTGACTATGTTTTTAGGGAACCTGACTTATTAGAGAGACTGTGACCTGAAAAAGCATTTGATAGATGTGATGGAATATTACTCAGTCATAAAAAGCAATAAAGTGCTGACACAGGCTACCGTGTGGATGAACCTTGAAAGCATTATCCTGAATGAAAGAAGCCAGACCTAAAAGGTCACCTACCATACAGTTCTATTTATATGAAATGCCCAGAAGAAGCAGGTCCGCAGAACGCAGTTCAGTGGTTGCCAGGGATTGGCAGGAGGCAGGAATGGGGAGCGACTGCTGAATGGCTACAGCATTTCCTTTCAGGGGGCTGAAAATGTTTGGAAACTAGATAGAAGAGGTGGTTACACAAATACTGAATGCCACTGGACTGTTCATTCTTAAATGGCTAGTTTTGTATTAGATGAATTTCATCTCAATAAAAAAATAGCATTTGCTACTCAACTGTAGAACCCCTAGCCTTTCAGCAACAGGAATTGGGCTGCAAAAGTTGTGTGGCCCCACTGAGGGCAGGTTCCCACCCCCAGATCATAGATAGCCACCCAAGGTGATGGGAGAAGGGCTTCCCCCAGCACCAGCCAGGGGCCCCAGAGAATGGTGGATGGGAGGCTCCCCACAGAAAAAACCTCAGGAGAGGGGCTTCACCCTGCAGTCTGCCCAGAATACCTCAGAACTGCCCCCAGGGTCCCTGCGTGCCTCCCATCTCCCCCTCTGGGAATGGCAGTGCTGCTGGCATTACCCAGGCCCTATTCCACTGCAGGGTGCTGGGCTGCTTGGGGCAGCTAATCTTATTCTCTTATCTGCTTTTAGGCCCCCATGTCAATAAAGGGCAAATCAGACACTACAGAGGGACAGCCATGAATCACCTGAGGATCCAGGAGCATCTACCAAACCCGGCCTTAATGATGGCCATGGCAGCCACTGCCAGCTGCCTCACCCCACATCTGCTCTTCCCTTTGCCCTGAATACTAGAGCTCCTGATTTTCACTTGGACACAGAACAGTTCTTCCTAGTCCACCTCTTTTGTTGGTCCTCCTTTGCAGCTGGCTATGGCCACCGCCTGAGGAAGGCAGGGTGATGAGCAATGAGGAGCCCGAGCTAGCCAGGGTGGGCAGCTGCCATGTAACCTTACACTGCCTACCTCTGAATTTCCTTTACAAGAATGAATGAAACTTGTTATATTTGAGCCTCTGTTATTGGAGGTTGTGGTTACATGCAACCAACCCTCCTGGTAATTGAGAGTCTGCCCCATCCTAATCAACTTCGGGTTCAGAGTGTAAAAGTCTGCAACACAGCCTTACCTCGCCATCATTTGGGATTTGATGAACCTCCTCATTCTCTTAGAATTTTTTAAAATTGATCAGGCACACTGTTGTACAGCAGATCTCTAGCATTTATTCCTCTTGTATAACTGAAACTTCATACCCATTGAACAGCAATTCCCCACTTCCCTCTGCCCACCGTCCTACTCTCATGTTCTATGAGTTTGACTAGCCAAGCCGCCCTCATATAGGCAGAATCATGCAGTATTTGTCAGGCGACTGGCTTATTTCACTTAGCACAGCGCCCTCCGGGTTCATCTGTGTGATCCCAAATGGCAAGATTTCCTTGTTTTTTTAAGGCTGAATAATATTTTACTGTATGTAGATGCCACATTTTCTTTATCCATTCATCCATCTGCGGACACTTAGGTTGTTTCCATGTCTTGGCTATTGTCAATAATGCCACTGTGCACACGGGGGTGCAGATCTCTCTTTGAGATCCTGATTTCAATTATTTTGGAAAACAAGCAGAAGTGGGATTGCTAGATCATCTGATAGTTCTGCTTTTAATTTTGTTATAAGGGTAGATCTCATGTTAAATATTCTTACCACAGTAACAGAAAATAAAGAAAGAAGGAGTAAGAGAGGGGGGAATGGAGGGAGGAAGAGAGGGGAAACAAATCCACTGTCTGCAACAAACATTGCGTAAATTAAATAAAATATGAGGTTTTTAAAAAACTGATCAGGGCACTACCCTTGTTCAGGAGAACGATCCCACAATTTCATATGAGAAAAGACAAGGAACTTGCCCAGTTCAGGTAAGATGGTCATTCTGAGTCTGTGCAGGCCCCCTCTCTGGGCACTGGATCCGGAAGACGATAAAAGAGAACTGCATCTTTCCGTACAACATATGCTTGAAAAACAATGGCAAAAATACCTTAATTTTACCCCAGATATTTCTTAACATGCCCCAAAGAGGAAATTCACTTCTAGTGTAATTCATGGAATTTTAATTTTAATTTTCTTATTGTTTTTGTTTTGTTTTCATTTCCTAGGTGATTTCATCTGCTGATTACCTAACTGACTAGCACCGCCAGTGTCTGCTCTGAACATTCATCTTATTCATAGGGAGAGAACACGTATTAACCAAGAGAGCAGCTGCTGGTTAGTGTTTCTTTTATCAGGTGCTCTTAAAGATGAAGGGAAAGTATTAAGATCTTGGTACCGTCCTACGGTAATGCATATTTTCATATGAAGTTTATTTTTTTATGATTATAAAAGTGATAAATGCTGCCTGGTAATCATCTAGAAAATACAGAAGAGCAGACACCATTAACCCCATAAATGCCAAGCACAGTTGACATTTGGGTGCATTTCCTTCTGCTGGCTTGTTGTTGGTGTTTCCCTCCTTGTCTCTGTTTATGCAGCTGTACTTGCACTTATACATCATTTTCTCCCCTGCTTTATTTCACTTTCCATTACAATGTGAGCATTTGCCCCTGTTGCTAAAACTCCCCAGTGTCCAGCCAGAGGGGAGGCCTATCCACATGGTGGAACTGCCAGGGTCTGTGGCTATTCCATCTTCTACACAAAGGCACTTTCCCTCCAAGTTGCGGCTGTTCCTCAGCTACTGAACAGGAACCAGAACTAAGACAGTCATTCAGGGAAGGACATGCCCAGACTTGCTCAGGGTTCCAACTATACCAGAAGGTATTTCCTGCAGAATGCACACTGGCTTTGAACCCAGGAGGCAGCCCCAGGGAAAAAATCCAGACACAAAAGAAGTAAACTCTGCTGCAGTGAGATGGTGGGACTGCTCACTTTAAACCTCCAGAAGAGCAAAGAGCCATCCTAACTCACAGACACGTGCTGGTGAAGGGTGCCCAGCAACTGCCCGCCTGCCTGGACCCCGCAGTAAGCACTGTCGAGGTTACCAGGAGCCTGGAGATTTAGACGAGAGGAGCTGACATGCATGGTGAGCGGCCCCCAGCACGGACCCCAGAGTGGACTCTCAGCCAGCTCCCTGTGTCCCATCGGCTTTGAAACAAAACATCTTTTCTGCACAAGTGCAGCAATGTGAGGACAGGCTGGGCATACTTGTTCACTTCTGTGTCCCCAGCATCTAGCACGTCCCGTGCCAGCACATGTTGTAGTGTTCAGTAGTATTTACTGAATGAGGACTCTCTACAAACTCCCTTAAATATTGGCCATTAGAACTCAGTCTGAGTTCATGAGCATTTTCTCAGGAAACAGCCAGTGCCTCAGGGGATTGTAGCAGCTTAGCAGTCACTCTTCCTGGGTGTGGGTCAGCCTGGACAGCCTGGTGGCCCTTCACTGACCTGCTCCCCATGGGGAGGTGGACATCACGCTGAGGGATGAAGAAGCAAGTGACCACTGATGAACTTCCCTATTTCAAAATTTTGCTTCCATGTATCTGTCTTCTTCAGACCTCTTCTTCATTTCTTATTATTTTATCTGCCTCTAATTTCCAAGACCGAGGACTCTAGTCTTATTATTGCTAAAAGTAAGTCATGCTAAGAGTTAAACCTATCTTCAGTGGGCAAACCTGTATACAATTTATATCATTTCAGTTTGGGGAAAATGCAATGACAGCTGTGACTGTAAAAGGATACTTTGGACCACATGTACTCTCGTAAGTCAGGTGTTGCTTGTAGAATTGTATGGGCATTTGGACCAGTCAAGAGTTTGTTCTGGAATCTCCCCTACCCAGGAGACAGGGAGGCAAAGGGGTCTTCCTGCAGTGTAAAAATATTCTCTTTACAATAAGAAAATGACATAAGGATGACATAAATATAAAATAATATAATATAAATATAAAATGATATAATATGCATGATATATATAGATATGCATATCCTTGTGAGTAAGGAAATTATAACCAAACTCTAAAATGGAAACTTCATCATTGCCAGTCTTCATTATCATCGGCATCATCACTATCATCTGTGAGGCTGACAGGCACACAGCTCTTACTAGGCCCCTGGCACTGTGCTAAGCAATGTGCGTCTTCTCATGGAATCCTCCAACAGCTTTACAAGGAAGGTTCTTTATAATAATGAGGAAATGAGGCCGGACATATCCAGCAACTCACGCAAGGTGATACAGAAGTGGCAAGGCAGGGACCCGCCATCAGACAGTCTTTCTCCAGGATCTGGACACCTAACTACTCATTGTTATAGGAAGACAGAGGCAAGATGGACAGGATTCCAGGACTTGGGCTTAAGTTCCTGGCAAAGCAGGTGGGACCGTGTCTCTTAAAGTTGCCCAGATCCTTGCCTCTCTTATTCTCCATGGCAGCCCCAGGCAGTACAGTGCACACTCCAGACCCTCACAAGATAGCTGTCGCGTGGACACTTGAATGACCCAGTTCTTAAGTATATTTCACACTGTGAACTTTCCCACGTTGTTTTCAAATATTCAATTCAGGCTTCCTGAGCTGTACTTGGGAGGTTGCCCTTGTGATGTCTGTGCTCCCATTCATAGAGATAAAACTCTAATTCTGCCTTCCTTGTCAGCCTGAGAGTGGGTGAGCTGGAGAGGGTATTCAAATTCCCCTCCCAGTCATACAAACTCACAAAACACAAGAGTAGCCATTAACAAAGGTGTGCTTGGCTTGGCAGGCACAAGATCAGCTTAAAGGGCAGGTGTGGTGGTACAGAAGAAATGCAGTCAGGTGTAGCCATGACAGGTGGGAAGCTATGACAGGTGACACATGCTTTGAGATAATGGTACACATGGTTATATTTACCAGTCTCTATAGCAGCTAGGGATGGCCATGGAAATGTGAATTGAACTTGCTGAGTGGCACTTCTTGGCATGAGGAGAATAGAAGTGGACTGGTACTCTTTACCTCTTTTCCCCATTCTCCATTTACTACAGGGAACACAGACATGATGGCAGGAGTTCCAGCAGCAATCTTGAAGCCATAAGCAAAAAGCTAGCAGAACCACTGAGCAATAGCCAAACAACTATCTGTCCCTAGATTTCTCATTATGTTAGAAAAATAAATACTTATGTAGTTAAGCCATTTAGGTCAGGTCTGTTACTAGCAGCTGAACCCAATCCCTAACTGACACACCCTCTGCAGTGGGCAGCCTCTGCAATGGCCCCTATCTGATGATGGCTCATCATCTCTTCCTGGGAGGCTTTATGAAGTTAGAATACTACTTAATAATGCCCAACATTTTTCTTTGGGTCTAAAAGTAAAAAAAAATTTATTTACTACTATGCTCAGCTAAATTACACATTATGATGTGTTAAAGCCAGAAACCACCTCTTGGTGTTGACACTGCTGTGGAATTCTTCTCTGTGAGTCTGCACTGGACTTACTGACTTGGTTCTAAGAATATGGCAGAAGTGATGGGATGTCACTTTGGTGACTAAAGTATAAAAAGGCTGTGGCTGCTGTCTTGCATCTCTTACACTACCTTCCATGTCATGGGGAAGCCCTATAGAGAAGCATGTGATTAGAGACCAAAGCCTAACTGGAAGCAGACACCACCAGTCCCAGCTGAGCTTTCAGATGAGACCACAGCCCTGGCCAATGACTTTACTACAGTCTACGAGAGGTCTTGATGTACAGCTAAGCCATGTCGAGATTTCCGACCCACAAAAACTGTGATAGTGTTTATCGTCTTAAGCCTGTTTTAGATGACTAATGCATCCTCCAAACAACACTTTTCTTGGGTTAATGCTCAAGGTAGTGTCAATTCTCTAAGTCTTCAATTGTATGTCTTACCCTACACCATCTTCAATGAAATATTGATGCCTGAATAGAATGCTTGGCATAGAGCCTGGCACATAGTAGGAGCTCAAAAGATGAATGAGTGAATGCATGAATGACAGAGACTGTGTCTTGCTGAGTGTGATCTATGGCACCCAGACCCTCAACAAATATTGCACAAAGTCCACCAGTAAAGCCAGGGGACATTAACAAAGTGCATCAGATCAGCCTATCATAATTAGATCATTTGTAATTTTACTTCGATTGACACTTCTAGACTCAGCTCTGTGATTTACTGAGGGCAGATTCCTGCTGGGAGGCCTTATTAAGTTAAAGAGCATTTAACAGCTCCCAACATTCATCATTGGGTCTAAAAGTAAACAAAAGTTTTCTTTATTAGTGTGCTCAACTGAATAACACAGTAATAGGATATGTTCAGGCCAGAAGTTACACGTCAAATGAACAGACTGACAGCAAATGCAGAAACTCACCAATTTCCCTACTGGTTTATGAACTGATGCAGAAGTAAGAGCTGATGGCAGAATCAGCTTCAGGGGTCATGGAAAGTATGTTTGCAGCTGTCTGAGAGATACTGAGGGATCATTCTTTGCCGTCTAGTGCAGACAAGACTCTTATTTTAGTCTGTCCAGTTTTCCATTTCATTTTCCAAGACATTTAAATGGTGGCCCGAGGCGAACTATAAAACCCATGGTGTGTGTTAGTTTAAAGCAAGTCTGCTTAAAAGCTTTGTGCCAACGTGTGCTTGTTTGCCAATTCTACTTTCATATTAAAAGGGTCAGCAAGAAAGGATTTTACTAATTAGAGATAGAAAGGGTGTTTCTATCTGCCCTGGTGGGGCAGCCATGGGTAGACGAGGGTTTGCAAGGAGAAGGTGCAATTGAAGAGAGGGTAGCTCCATGCCTGACCCTACTGCAGCCCCCACCCCAGGAAAGGCAAGGAGGGCATGCTAGATGCTTATGGGCAACATCTGCAGCATTTCCATACAGTGCAGAGACAATGCCCTCAGGAGTTATTTACATGGCAAAGACAATATTTCTTACTCTGCTCTCTCAATCTAGTCTTAAATTTTTTTCAATCTGTCTGGGCTTTTTATATGATCACCTTCAGTGCATTGATGAATGGTTGTCCTTAGGGTCTTGCTGAGGGCTCAAAGGCCATCCATCACCGAGGCGCGGGCTTCCTCTGGGGCTCATTTGGGTAGCATTTGATTCCCTCCATGCCCACGCTCCCCCACCCCCTCCGTCCTTATAGGTCCATAGTACGGGGCTCCCATTCTTTGCACAGCAACATGCCCTGTATTTCTTGGAAAGAATTTTATCTGAAGTAGCAGCACCTTGGAAACATAACGGACTATGCTACTGGCCTCAGAGGAGAAGGGAAGCTTGCAACCTTCCTCAAG